GCAGTCGCCGGTTTGTGTGACCCGGGGGCCTGTCGAGCTGGTCCGGCCTCGCCAGCTGCGGTCGTGTCTGCAGACAGTCGCCGGTTTGTGTGACCCGGGGCTTGTCAAGCCGGCCGGCCCCGCCAGCTGCGGTCGTGTCTGCAGACAGTCGCCGGTTTGTGTGACCCGGAGCCTGTCAAGCTGGCCCGGCCTCGCCAGCTGCAGTCGCCGGTTTGTGTGACCCGGGGGCCTGTCAAGCCGGTCCGGCCCGGCCAGCTGCGGTCGTGTCTGCAGACAGTCGCCGATTTGTGTGACCCGGAGGGCTGTCGAGCCGGCCCGGCCCCGCCAGCTGCGGTCGTGTCTGCAGACAGTCGCCGGTTTGTGTGACCCGGGGCTTGTCAAGCCGGCCGGCCCCGCCAGCTGCGGTCGTGTCTGCAGACAGTCGCCGGTTTGTGTGACCCGGGGCTTGTCAAGCCGGCCAGCCCCGCCAGCTGCGGTCGTGTCTCGCCCCGACGTGTGCAGTACTCACACGTGACACCCGCCGTCGGCGAGCGCCAGCGGGGCGTGACGCCCCCCGCGGCCCGTCACCACCGGGAGGAGCTCCCAGCTGGGGTCGGCCAGCCCGTCGCCACCATGTGGGACCAGCTTTGTCTTCAACATCACGGTAATAAGCCCCAGCGATCGGCAGAAAATGGAGAGCGGCAGGGCAAGTGGAGCCACCGCCTGCCGGGCGGCTGAAGACCCGGGTGTAGGCGTTCTCCCGGTGCGGGCGTGCAAGGACAGGATCGGCTACCGCAGGACGTCGCCTCTTCATTAAACGTGCCGGGAACATTAACACGCCGATCAAGAAGCAATTATTTTCGCATGAAAACCTTGCTTGGGTATTTGACAGAGGGAACATGAGGCCTGGAACCGAGCTCTAATGCACTTTGCAATCGCACGTCAAAAACTTTACAACAAAGCTTGGACTGAAGATACAAATGAGCCTTAAAGTTCTTCTTAAGTTTTCAGACAGAACGAAATGTGGATGTTGGACGGATGAAAGTCGATTACGGAAAACAAAACGTTCGAAATATAAACCAGAAAGGCCTGATATCAAAGGCCGAGAAATGATCGCGGTGGCTGCGCGGTTCACAGAGCTGACAAGCATCAGTCGGCACGGAAGGCAAGCGGAAGAGAATGCGACAGAGATGATCGTCTTCTGGCTGCGTCTGTGTATTGTTACATGTTCGTTGTCTTGGTGATGTGGTGAGTTTTGTTTTCTGCGGCGGTGGGCGCGGCGCTGCGGCGTATGATTATGTAAATACCCTGGCGTTGCATCCCGCCCATCCCGCTATAGACAGGCCAGGTCATGCGTGATGAGGGAGGTGCGTGCGAAGTTACGTCGTCGCACGATGGTAGAATATACAGAGCGCAAGCGAGCTTGCGAGCAGCGAGCTATTGTCGCCACGGGACCACAGTGCGTGTGCTGCTCGGTAGCGGCTCGGACATCTTCGAGCTAGAGACAAAGCTGGTAAGTTGGGAGAACTGTTCAGTTTACTATTTACTTGGTGGCACCGGTCGGGATTCCCATTTGGGTAGCTGACAAGATTCAAACCATCGGGTTCGGAGTGACCGAGTTTAATTTAATGAAGGAGATAGTCTTTTGTGTGCGGTTTTCCATCATCATCACTCTACATAATGTGATTTACTTTTTAGAAATGCAGGAAAACAGTGAATTTTAGTTGTCGAATTAAGCAAAGACAGATTCCGACTTTTTGTAGTCAAGAACAATCAATGACCACAAGTTCATATCGAAAAGGTTTGTGGTGAAGACGAAACATTTCTGTCGGCGTTGTCGCTAGGTTGAAATGAGGACACACAAAAGTGTTTTGCTATGGCTTATTCAGCATAATCATGCAATCAGTGCAGTAGTTGTCCACCAGTAGACATCATCTAAAATATTGTATTGCTACCTCAGGTGCACCAGCAGCGGAAGGGCACACCAAGGTACGCAGTTGGCCTGATACCGCTAGCAGGTGGATTCCGCCACAGTTTGGTCAGAGAATACAGCCATGGTGCTGTCCTATCCCTGGCCTTCATTTGAACTTTTCCATGAGGATTATCTGGTGGTCTGAGACCATTTCTAAGATTTTTGCTCAACCCAACAGCCGGTTTTGGGACACATTGCCGACGCCCTTTATGAAAATGGTTGCGTAAGGATAGTTCTAAATCGGTTTATGTGTTTTAGAAAACAGGCTGCAAATATAATGCAGAATATAACATAATTGCAGAATTTTAGTCAAAGGGTCTTGGTTTATAGATTAGGAGCATATTTTGGAGGAAAATGGACTCCTGTTTTCGTGAACTTAAGCACACGGCGTGCCTTGACCTTGCTGCAGTGAGATATGTGGCTGAAATTCAAATGAACGGTAATGCGCACGATATCTATAATCGGAGAACTATGCAATTTTGGATCTCTCTAGTCGGTATACATCTTGTTGTTTATGTCACATGAATGCGGAAAAAACGTGTTTCGTGTTTCCCAGAGATCCGCAGGTAGACACGACTAAGGCAAATTTATTTTGGTATAACAATCAAAATATGTGATGGACATTGAAATTGTTTGAAATATTGAGGCTAAGAAGCATTCATTTCACATGTCTTGCACCTACGCACGTAAATCAATCCATTGTTAACACTTCCTGCTTTCGTAAAACTTACTTCGAGGAGACAGAGACGGTCCTTTGTGGCATATACAGTGCAGGTCATAAACAGTTCATGAATATTATTTGAAGTCGATGTCCACGTTGTTTGATACTTAACATAAAATCATAAATGATGACATTATGCACCAGCATACGTAACAACTCTCTAACGCGGGGCGAGCCTTCAGGAACCATATGTTGTCGATTAGTGCGTTCTGAACATTCCCAACAAAGCAGGATCAGTATACTAATTACAGAACTCGTCTTCCCAGCCTGGTCCAGCGACAGCTCCGCGTAATGCGACCCGCGGCGGGGGAAACTGATCCCTGACCAGGATTGTCGCGCGCACCGCACAAGTTGATGTGTAGCGGGGTATCATCGCGGCGCCGCCCCCAGGCAAGCTTTTGGTGGGCATTTTGTCCACGTGGGGTGTCGCACGCTAGTTCATGTCGATATTTCACGAGTACTAACGCATCGCAGCAGCAAAGTTACTATGTGTGCCAGCTTGAGCGGTACGAAACAAAAACGTCGCGTAACGATACGGCAGTTACATCGACAGCTCCAAAGATTCTGAGTCAATCTTCAATGCACTCAAGTGAGTTGAAATGCCAGCAAGTATGCTTTCAATGCCAGCTACAGCACTGCATTATTACATGCGTTATGGAACACAATGTATGCATGTGTACACACTATCCAAATATGAAGCTCATAACTGAGCTTCTCTGAGCCGAAGATCTAACAGCACTCTCGATTACCTGCGCTGTTTGTAGCATCATCATGGGGAACGCATAACACATAATTTTATCTGTGCCAGGAGGAAGGAGAGGTCTTTCGTTTTCGTGACATTTTTGCGGTATGTAGTCTGCCGTAAATGAAAGGTGGCAGGACAGTGAGAGCCAGGCAGTGCTGCGTTCCGCCATCGCTGGGAAGGGAGGGGACCTGGCAGCATATAAAATAATCCCCAGGATTGGCGGTGAGCTACCTCACCACAGATATGTGCATGTATATTTATATGTTCATATACGTATATTGATATTATATATATGTATATATATATATATATATATATATATATACACAAAGATAATGCTGGCTTAAGGAACAATAATACTACGCTGGTTATTGGCACCCCAGTCTCTAGGAGAGATCAGGATGGGGTAAAATGTGAAATGACCTGGGGTGGATTTGCACCTTGTCGGCACGTGCCTACTCATCCAAGACCCCTAGAGACAACGACGCGGTGGGAGGGGTGTATTTCACCATTTGGTTGTGGGGGGAGGGAGCTTTGCTTATTCGGCCCTTCTCCCATTCTGGCTTCAGTCTCTCCCCCCGGCTTTGAGAGGAAAGTGGGCCAAATCCGGAGAGGAACCCGTTTGCTGGCCTATTTCAGAGTAGGTGTAATTTTTTGCTTATTAGCTCCCCAATTTATTTGCAAAACTACGCCCCCCGAACGGATGGGTGTGAAATGACAATGGACGAGGGTGGATTCCATCGTCCCGCACCCCTCTCCGTCTCCTGGAGAGGGTGGGATGGGGCAGGCGCGCAGTGATGCTCGACAGAGGGGTCAGGCCTCACTGCCATGCGACGCCCGCGGCGCGTCCAGAGGGAGCAAGGAAGGACAGAGCTGTGAGAGCGGATTGGACACCCAATTGGTGACTTGGTGGAGGTTGACTGGTGACTTGGTGACCAGTGACTTGGTGGAGATGTTATCGTTATAGGAACTCAGTACAATGATGCAGTCTGTGGTTGGCCTGAAAAGGGTGTGGCAGATGACGCTAAGCGTTTACATTACGCCGCGCTGCATCGAGCCGCTAAATCAGGAACGCAGCCTTCTCAAATGCTGTACTATTAAACTCCGAGTAATCAAGATGTGCTGTTACTTCAGCGGTGCTCGTATGGATAGAAAGAGCAATCTGACCTTTTGCATGGACGTAGAAACATCAGAAAGCTGCGGTGGAGGAAAAAAATATTCAGGTCGGGTAATTCCGTTAAGGCAATAAAGCTAATGTCAAACCTTCTTGCGAACTCGGGAAGGGCAGTGACCTCTGACCACTGCTCTTAAACGCCTATGATCTATCAGCTTCATAACCAGGTGACTCCAACCGGGCCTCAGTATCTCGCGCAAAACCCTTTATTTTGTTCGCTCAAAAACTCACATTTGACGCAACTCTGTACCCAGAAGAGCGACCCAAAGGACGCCAACACGCCTTCAACATTGTCTACCCAGACTCAAAGAAGAATGGAGCTTGGCCATGACTGGCCATAAGTCAGAGGGTCCCCGCTGCCACCACAATCGCGTGGGGCGAGATCCGGACGGGCACCCCGTCAACTCGCCTGCTGAGGGTATCTCCTCGAGCCGGTACTGGCGGCGGCCGACGCGTCTCGGTCCGCCCCGCTCACTCTACGTCCACACACGGCACCCGGTGCAGCGCCGCGGCGGCGCCTGGTCGTGTCGCGCGCCCGGGCCGAGCGAAACTGGCGCGAAACATCAGCCGGCGCGGGGGATGGCGCGATCGATGGCGGGAGCAGCGCCGCCGTGCGGCGGGCAGCGACGCCTCGCGAACAGAGCCGGGTACCGAGCACCGAGGCCGCGACCGAACACGGCACCGTGGTCCAAGCACGGAAGACCGAGCACGGAGCACAGAGCAGAGTTCGAACACGGAACCGGGGGCCGAACACAGAGTACCAAACACGGAGGACCAAACACGGAGAACCGAACACGGAGGACCGAACACGGAGGACCAAACACAGGACCAGGGTCGAACGTGGAATCGGGAAAGGAGCACGGAACACGGAACCGATGGTCGAACTCGGAACCGGATGCCGAGTAAGGAACTCAAGACTGAACACAGAACCGGGGACTGAACCAGGAACTCAAGACTGAACACAGAACCGGGGAATGAACGAGGAACTCAAGACTGAACACAGATCCTGGGACTGAACGAGGAACTGGACATCCTAAACGTGGAACCAAGCATCACCGCGCAGACAACTAAGGTATTCAAGCATAAACCAAGCTCTTCAATCACGAAATCAATTGTGCCGAACACGGCGCCGAGCGCCCTGAACACAGTCGCAGGCGTTCCGGACACGAAACAAGGCCTGCCGTACAAGTAACCGGGTGGTGATAGTGTAGCGGTTAACGCGCCTGCGTTTTCCACTGCGTATGGGAAACCAGAGGCATGGGGTTCGATTCGTCGCCGTGCCTGCGCTTCCTGCCAAGGCGAGAGGCAGGCGACGCCGTATAGCCTCAGCAGCTGAGTGCGTCGTAAAGCCGGAATGACGCAACCACCGCTCCCCATGAACAATAACAAACAAAAAAAGCAGCGTCTCGCAAAACACCGGGCCAGGTTCCCAGATACTACTCCAAACACGAATGCAATCATCCGAAGCACGACAACAGGCGTGCGAAAGACGGAACAAGGCGTCTTAAATCAGACAGCAGAAATAATGATAGCCATCTGCAAATGTCAAAGTCCTTAGAATCCGTATCACGAGGCGTCCTGTCAAAATGTGCCCTAAAAGCTGGGCACATTTTGATCATTTGGCACATTTGATCAAAGCTGGGCACATTTGATCTTGTTCATAGATCTCGTTCCTGCCAACTGCGTGCGCTCATTGATGCCATGAGCGCACGCAGTTGGCAGGAACGAGATCTATGAACAAGATCGAGAGATCCATGTGAATAATATATACTGTGGGCCCGAAGAAGAGACGCAGCTTTTGACCGCCATCCTGACAATTTCTGACCAGTTAGAGCCCATGGGAGTTTGGTTGGGCTACGGGTCGGACTTGCGGGCTTTTGCGGGTCAAACAATTAAAGCAATATCCTGTGTTTTTGCCATTTCCTAAGTTTTAAGCCATCCAAAGCCGGAGTGGGCTGCCAAACACAAAGCATTTACGAGAAGGTGCCATCGTTATTTTTACAGTAAGGGCATCAGTGGCAGGAAACCCGCGTCAGACTCACCACCAGCAAACAGGGCTGCACAAACTGAGCGGTTTTAGGCAATCACCTCACTGAAGAACTCAACAATAAAAAGTGTGTTTCAAACTTGGCCTGATTTCACTGACCAGCAGTTAGGTGGGTCCTTTACCTAATCACAGCCACACGCTGCACTTGACCGTTATTGTGAGGGTGTGGTGCACTCAAATTTTCTTGGTTTACACTCGAACCATCTCTCACAAATCACAATCAATATTCACGATCAATGAAGCGCATGGAAAACTGTAAGCCTTTTATTGTTCATCGCTTGCATTGTTTGCTTTATAGTGCGTTTGTGCTTATATACAGTGTAATAAACTGAGGATAATTCCCATGACTTCAGACATCATTATGTTTACTCTGCCAGTGAAAGACCATTAGTTGCTGCCTGCAATTTCTAGAAGACATAGCCCGTGGTCTATTGAGATAAGATAGAACGGTGAAATTGTTGACACATCTTGGTAATACAGATCGCTTAATTGCACCCCATTTCTCCTCATTTTCGTCTCAGGAAAACTGCCATCGCAGTGTTTAAAATCTTCCTCCGTGCAATATCCCCTGAGGGCTTCGATCGCCGCTAGTTTAGAATCATCTCCGGTGTTAGCCACACAATGCTGTCTTTTAGGTGACACTGACGTATCATTTTATGGACACTTTAATGTGGCGAAGTACATATAGAAATAACTTAGAATTTGCGGTTTAATGACGAGCCAGCATTGTAGCACGGCGGGCTTTTGCGGGCTGGTTCACTAGGTGGCTGGGGCGGACTAGGCAGCAGAGTGATATTTCGGAGAAAGTTGCATGTTAAGTCCCAATCCGACCCAAAACATTTCATGAACCTAAGAATCCAAAGCATTCAAAGCATCCAAGAACCTAACGAAGTTCAGGAATCCAAGGATTCAAAGCACTGACACCGTTCGATAGCACACCAAATACAGGCTGCCGCCCCTTGAGGAACGTGTGCGAGTTGCATACGCGGCTTTCAGAACCTCTTTATGCGAAGCCATCACAATACACCACTGAATTGGGTAACAAAGTCCCTTTCGCTCCAGCTCCTACAGCAATTTGTAGCAACGGGAGATGGGCAGGGGAGGGGGTGTGGGTACCATAGCACCCCCACTGTCCGAGAACACCGAGCATTAACCCCATGCCGGAGCGTGGGAATAATCGGCTTCAAAATTGATAAATGCACCCTCACTTTCTGGGACGCTCACCCCCGATGGTGATGATGATTTGGGCTATGGGGCGCACCGACTACGTTGGTCATATGACGCCCATGGGCTCGCCCCCCCCCCCCCCCATATGGATAAAATCGAGCCTCCGCGATGCTCCATAACAAGGAACCTGTCACCTCAAAATGCCTCTCCTTCAAGCATCATTCGAGGAAGCAACCATCAGCGCACCTCGCTGGAAAGGGCGTTCTAATATTGTCAGCACCCTTCCGATTCTTTTCAAGATGTCAAGAGCGCTCAGCGCCTCTCCGAGCTCGCGCTTCGTGGAACACCGGGGAAACTCCCAGCTACCGCAGAGTGAAATCTGAAAAGAACACGGAGAGAATAAAGCCCGCGGCATCATTTCACAAACGTTTGGCCAGACTGTTAGCGGTGAGACGATGAAATGTGCGCAGCATCCGGGATCATCCGCACCCTGGTGTGGTCAGCACGGGCCCATGATCAGTGAAGTCGCGCTGTCATGTGATTTGTTAAGGCATGCAATAATGACCGTATATCTGCAATACGGTCGAATTTTTGACGCATGCAGTAGCAGTCATATACCTACAATATCTTCTCTTCTTCATATGGTTGTATTTCATGCTTGCTTTGGGCAGGCTACGAGATTCAATTCGCGTTTTATCAATACAGCGCAGTTCACTGCATGAGCGCATGCAGATCTTTGCGACGTCTCAGTACTCACGAACATTGACCCAGTTCTGTGGGTAGGCTCGGGTCAGATGTGGGTGGTGAGCCGGAGTTACCTAACTGAACCGCTGGTGAGACGGTGACACGTCAGGCAGTGGGCCGAAACTGTTTAGGACAGAAGTTGGGCCGCCGGACAGCCGTTAGAGAAAGCTGACGCGAAGTGCGCAGCAGTTCTAACCAAACTCCAGACCGATAGACACCAAGGAGATGCCTTTTCCCCACGGGCGAGAGAGGAATTTTCAAAGCAGAATTTGCATTCTAAACAAGTCCGAATCCATTCAGCGGCGTCGACCGGAGCCGCCTTTGAAAGCGGCGGGATTGGCTCGCTCTCGTCCGTGATCACCGCGCTGCACCGCCTCTCCACGCGCGCCACCGCAGCTGCTTGTCTCGATTGGCGGCGCTGTTTTGAAAGGAACAATAATTTAGGACCCAACGTAAAGTGCTTTTTGAGATCGAGGGCAAATAAACATGCTAAGCGCATGAAGAGTTTCGTAGTGGCTCATAGGAAGGAAGAGAATCGAGTGCCAATATTTTGGAGCCGGAGAAGGAGAAGAACAAAGAGTGAAAAAATCATTGGACGGCCAGAAAATCAAAGCTAAATTTCACCCGTTATGTTCCAGTTTTCGTGCAAACTCCATCGCTCAGAAGTGTGCGTTACACACCCGACCTGGCGTACCAGAAGTGAAACATGTTGGAGACAAGATTGAAATGAGCAGCTAGCTCCTTTGTTCTGCAGGCTTTGATCGCGCCAATTTGTATCTCGTGAAACAAGTAGAGCTTCCACCGCATTGCCACTATATGTCTTGGAATACAGTATGCCCATGTGAAATGCAAAGAATGAAGTACATAGTTTTGCAAAAACAAGCCACGTAGTTCTCGCCATTTGTTGCATAATCGTAGGTATATGATTGCACTTAAGGTATTTTTTCACGCTTTTCTACTCAATTTCCTCAACATGGCATCAGTTGTTCATGTATTATATGCGATCAGGAAATATGGCATTCGATGTGCATGTGATCTCATTGACGAGCCTTGTTGTCACCTGTATACAGTGGGTGAGCACCTGAATCTGTGGAAAACGCGAACAGTAAAGATCGATGCCACCATTTTTTAGATCACACTGCCTTTTTTGAAGTTTGAGACATCGCAAAGAACAACATCATGCAGCATCTGGGCATTTTGTAGTCAGGGCAGCTTTGAACCAGGTGATTGATGGAATGTTTCAGAAGTGTTCCAAGATTTGTGATGCATCGCGCCGTTTGGAACCTTTCGGTAGCAATTTTCTAGCATACGCTCGCAGGCTGCATTCGAGATAGTGCTCATGTTCTTCATGATTACTTCTTTAACTCAGGAATATTGCTGAATAGCTTGCTTTAAGCATGTGGAGCCGCACACGCTTCCCAGGACCGACCATCCACCTTTTGCTCTGAGATGTGTTTTTTATCTACCATACTGTCCCCTTGGCGGCGTTCGAATGTCCGCCGTGTTGCCCAGAACTGCTGGCCATTTCTCAGGTTACTTTTCCTTCCACGAGCAGTCCAATATTTTATTCAG